TACAGTTCCAACAGTATGGAAGTAATTTTTTTCTTTTTTTTTTTTTTAATAAAAAAGGAAAAAAAAAAGAAAGATTTCACATTTTTTAACAATTCAAGTTCTGTTATCATAAATGGCTTTTAGAAACACTATGAGGGAAGTGTTATCAAATCCAAATGGGAAGTCACAATATCCCATCAATTATATTTTGCTTTATACATATTCATCTAATCGGGGTAAGGAAGGGGGAGGAAAAGAATGCAGGTCACATAGATGATTGCTCTGCTAGTTTTAATCTCCATGCTGCTATGCTGCAGCTCTCAAAGTCAGCATTCCAATGATGCCATTTTTGCAAGGTCATATTCTGAACACAAAGCATTCCACTTCCATATATATAGACCCGAAATAGAAGTGTTGTAAAATATAGTTTCTCAATACCTTTCAGTTTTGTGTGCAAACAAAAAAACAAAACAAAACAAAAAAAAACCCAAACCTCCTTTACTTTCAACAATACCCTGTGTGCGCAATTGCAATAGCCAGTCCTGCAGCAACAGAGACTTGCTACTTGTAACGTGACAAAACATCTAACACATTCTAACCCTTCTTTGTCTAAGAACTGACAATAAGAATGCCTCCATACAAAATACATTATTTCTTTTACTTAAAATTTAACTCCATGGAAATGTGTAAATCCTGTAATACTCACAATGTGTTTCTATAACTATACATTTGCATTCTGATGCTGTAGCAATTATCCTTCAATTAAACCACAAGTAACCAAATTTACTGTCCTACAAAAATAGTCAATATTAGAGAATGATACAGAACACAGGTATTACAAAGTTTTAGAATTCACAGGGACAACATTTTAAATCAGTTAAGTCTTCAGCTCGAAGTGCCTTAACATTCAGGCACGTGTGGTATATAATTATCTGGTGTTTTTAACTGATTAACAAACAAGTCTTTCTGTCTTACCAGCTAAAGTGTCTCATATAATTGAGTTTACTGAAAGCATTTAAACACTCCCATGAACAAGAAAGCCAGTCCTCCCAACACAACATCACCACCTTGACCTATCAACGGGCTGAGGGCTGATGCAGGCAGGATACAGCTGCCATTGCAAAGATGTGGCACTGTGAATTTCCAGTAACAGATTGTTACTCATGCAGTTGGTGATTTTGAACCCATAATTGCTATGGGAATCCATTTCCGAAATGCAATGCTGTATACCATCAGTGTAACTTTTTTTAAAGTTCTGTTGCTTAAAATCATTTTCTCTGTGCATTCAAAAGGCCATGCATAGATTAAACTAAATCAAATACTCAGAAATCTCAAAGTTAAGTGAAACTTCTTTATGTAAACCAGTGGCACACAATCACTAACGTCAAGGTAAACAAAGCTAAAAGAACGTCAAGTGCCATCATAGGATTTCATGTTCATGGGAACATAGGTATGCATTCTGAGTCTACAACAATTTGCGAAGTTACATATAAAAAATAAACTTATGGTACCACAGTCTAAATCTCCATAGTTTGCATATTTAAGTTTATGAAAGACAAAACACAATCGGAGCTTCACACCTGTTATGAATTTTTACAGTTACTGTATGCAGAGAAAATTTATCAAAGCTGTCCAATTCTTGCTGTATATTAGCTTCTTAGTTTATAGCTTATTTATTGTTAACTTGGTGCCTATAGATCAGAAACAGTTTTGAATACAGAATGCAAACCATCAACAACACACTCTTGCTGAGAAAGTTTCTTGATATGCATGATCTTGCCACTGACAGTTTTCTTTTTCATAACCTCTCTTAACATGCACTCCTGTTTGTTCTATAAACCTTATGTTAATGTAATGTTTTTCTTTTCTATAGACCTATTCCTGTTCCTGTATGTCAAAGGATAATTCTCATTCTTTTCAGTGGAACAGGATTGGACAACATGTTTTAGAAGTGTTCAGTTATACTCAAAACACTTCTTGTTAAGCAGAAAAAAATGATAACACACGTCGACTTCTGTTTCTTCTGAAAAGTATTTTTATCAATCTTCTTACCATCTCATTTTTTTAAAATTATTCTACAGTAATACTGATAATTTGTGTCTTAGGTTGGCAATCACTGCTTCATAGCTCAAATGTATTAACATCCTAATGAGTCAGATAAAAGCACATTGCCTACAAACTTTTCTACATAGTATCAACTACATAAAATGTTCTTTTCCATATAGTGTTAAAGTGGTTATGTAGTGTTGCCTGTACAATTGTTGCAAGCTTCTTGCCTTTCATCCTATACATCATAACATCTCAAGACGAAAGACTATTTAAAATGAACATTATAACAACATGTTCAGCCACATCGCTGCACTTTACAGCGCTGATCTCTAGGTATGTACTAAACAGTACAAAAAATAACGGATACCAAGTGCTAGTTTTGAACTGGCAACTAATTCTGACTGGCACGTCAAAGTCAAGGCAGACAGAAAGATGTAGAGTTCCAACGACCAGTCCACAATGGATTTTTCTAGTGTAGCTGCCTAGGAATCAGAGAAGTTAACAGAAACAGAGGCCGCTGAATAGCTAGAGTACAGGAGAGGCCCATGTGAAATAAAAGCAAAAAGGAAGTAAGGAAGCAAACAGATGGAGCACACAACAGGAGAGCAGCTAGTGAAGTACAGCAAGCAGAAGTTCCATAATACTGAAATACAAGTATTTCAGGGAGAGGCTGGTCAGTAAAGATGTTCAGTCAGGGGCTTTTTTCTTCTACCTTGTACCCAGGAACTGATTTGGATAATACAGAACGTTTGGAACCATCTTTTCTTGGAGTAGCACTTTTGTCTCTCGTTTTTTGTCTTCCCTGAAAAGAATCTTCCTGGTTGTCTGTGGCGCAATCACCTTCAGATACATTGCCAGACGAATTGTCCTACAATGAAAATACCATAGCTATATTTTTTACTTTTTTGGATAGACAGACAAGTCTTTTGTATGCCCTTAGAGCCGACTAAGGTAAAAGAAGGACATATCTTTCCTTCTACAAAAGTGTGGGGTACAACGAAATAAAACATCTTTTCTTGTAACCCTTATCTATTTGTTTTCATGCTAAAAGACTGGCATCAGCAATAACAGTAATGCTTTTTCAGTTATCTTGATAGCATAGTGGGATACACTAGTTCTTTGAACCATTTTCCTTTGACAGTCAGCAAGAAATCAACTGTATGCAAGATATTTATGTAACAGAGGGCCAGCAAAAAGTTAAAAGTGCCCTGGCCATGCATTTAAAGTGTATTACCAAACAGCACTAATTCAAATTTAATATGCAAAGGTTTTTTCTGCTACCCTTATCTCTCATTTTCACCAGGAGCACCCTAAATATTTCATGTGGATTGCAGCAGAAGAATGCCAAAGGCAAAACATGCTTCAACATTTAATACAGAACCAAACATAAATTTTATGCTGCAGTTAAATAATTTTGTGAGAATGGGAAGGTAAGAAAAAGGGGAAGAGGTTCAAAGAAAGTGAGAAACCAACATAAGCATAACTGAGAGCAGCAGACAAGATTTTTCTCAGAGAAGTGTTAAGAAAAGCCTCCAAAAAGCTCCAGCAGAAAACAATACAATCAATCACATTTCTTGCACTAAAAATTGAAAGGCCATGTAACAATGGTGCCCTACAGTAACAGGCATCTGTAATCTGCCTATATATGCCCAGAACCTAAAATCAAAACAGACTAAACAGACACAGGACAAAAGGAGGAGCGTAACAGAAAAGCAAAGCTAACTACATGGTAAAAAGAAATTGTATGTTTCACAGCTGTTGGGTGTTTTTATTTATTTTTTTTTAAATTATGGCAGGGTTATTTAGGACAAGTCCATTAAAACACTACAGACCAGGAAAACTGCTACCTGACTCCAACGACAGGGAGGGGATAAAAGGAAAAAGCATATTATAAGACTCAACAGGTAGAATGGTAGGCAGCTCAGGACTCGGGAAAAGAGGCTTGAGAGCTGTCTACCTTTGTATTCAACAGATATTTTGCCCAAACAATACCTTCCAACACCAAACTCACTTCATAAGAATCTCTTTTCAAATATTCCCTACACCTTTCTCACAGAAGCACATTTTTCTTTTTGTGTGCTCTCATTAAAAAAACCATCTGAACTTCTGTGGAAAATGAAAGGATAACCTGCTCAGTCCAAATACTTTGCCATTAATAAAAATGGAAGCCAGCAGACATGGGAACTAGAAAGAGGTGATTAAAGACCAACTATTAAAACAAATAAACAAACAAAAAAACCCACAACCTGGAGTATGATTAGACCAAATTTTTGTGTTGAAATTTAATTCTGAGCTTACATTTTCTTTCCCCAAAATATAAGCAAAAAGGGCATATTAACACTACCATTTGCAATTCTACAAGCTGACCCCTTCCATTCTTCTTTAGTTACGAGTATTTTGTAAATATTTAACAATATGGAGAAATTTCACGTTTTTTTACCCTCTATCAATTCCCCACTATCTAACATTTTAGTCAGTTGAACTAGAAATTGTTAAATGCATCTGTGATTTTATATTCTGTTTTTCTCAGAATGAGGGCTCAATTTTTAGAAAATGGTCAGCACCAATACACCAACAACACCAATACCAATGATTCAGTTGTACCTGGACAGCTCATCTGAAGCACAACTGTTCCTGAGTATCAACAAACACTACACCAAGGCAGGTATGTGAAACTTTTGCTTATATTCCAGTAACAGTTAATTTGAAGTTTGCATAAATAAAGAGAACATACACACCTATTAAAGATTTATCATAAAACAACAACAAAACTGCTTTCAAACTTTTCTTTAAACTGCAGCAATAAATTATCTGTTTCTGTATTGAATACTTCCTGCTTCTACTTCATAGGAAAACACAGTAAACAAGGCTAATAAGTCCTTTCCTTTAGTGATAGGATACATTCTATGAAACCAAAATAGCAAAATATGCTGTGAACTGAACTGAAATTCACTCCTCTCAGAAACGCTAGCAGCCAGACTTGTCACTTGAGGAAAAGGGTGTAAAGAAGGAAGGTTCTTCAAAACTTATTTAAAAAGAAGAAAAAAAGGGCCTGGCATTCCAGAGATTTGTTTGACTTGCTTTAAAAACAGAGCAAAACGGAAAGCTGAAGAGAAACGTTACAAAATAGAGAAGTACTAAAAAGATGGGAATTTTGAGTTTGCAATTCTACTTCAATTTACAAACATTAAAAGATTCTAACAGGAAATTACTGAAACTAAAAAAGGCAAAGAGAAAGGATTATTTTTGTTGTTGAAGAATACTTTCAATTTGTCTCACCGAATTGCCTTTGGTTTTCCGTTTCTCGTCACCTCGCCCTTCCTCTGCATCATCTGAATCCCCATCACTGTCTAATGCAGGCAGCTCTGGATCCAAAGGGGGTTCGTAAAGAGCTGTGTTTAATGGTAAGTAACGAAGTTCATCTGGAGAATATCTAAAGTTATTAAATAAATAAATGAATGCCTGTGCACTTTATGCATAGATATTGCTCACAAAATATACAAGAAAATTAGAGAGAAAGAGTAAGAAATGTAAATAACTCCAACCCTCCTTGTCAGGGAAGCACATATAAACATGCACTTCTAAAAAGATGGGAAACTTACTTATTTATCCCCATAAATGTTATACTATTTAGTACTTCTCATCTTTGTGTAGGCAGATATTCATGGAACACAGGAAGAGTATATTTGCAATGTTGCAAACCCATGCAATCATAAAAGGTCACCTGAATGTTTACAGATTTTTAATCAATCCATGCCAACAAGCCATATACTCTGTTTATAAAAGTACATAGCATCTATTCTAACCCAGGGCACACAAAGAGTTGGGGTCCAAAGCAAAATAAGTTGGTAGATTCCAGATCAAGTTTCATGATTGCTGAAGGGGAAAATATTGCAAATAAAAATAACTACAGGATAACGTCAAGATTTCACCAGATTATCTGAGCGGGCCAAATTTCAGGCACCACAATACATCAGAAGAGGGGACACTCTCACAGCAAGTATTTATATACGTGATGTTGACAAAAGCCCCCATGCTGCACATTTGTTAGACTAGCAACTGCTGCAAGCACAAGAGTAATTCAAAACTTTGCTGCAAATATACTCAAACGTTTTCCACCAGCCAGATGTAGAGATTAGTGCAAAAGAAACAGCAGTTGCAATGCTTTTAAAATACCTTTTGTAGTACTCCTGGAACTGGCCGGGTATGAGAGCCACTGGATAAGGACTAACCTTTGTTCTCTCTGTAGGCAAGATTTTGTATTTTCCTTGAGGCACCTGGATAATCTGTTGTTTAACACAAAACAATGAAGTTCTTGTTTTGCAAACTTTTGAGCTTTCCTTACCCTCCATTCCCTGCAAATATTTTGATGTGCCAGTTTTATCCCATTTACTCAATCAGAACAGCTACCTGAGCTCTCCCATGGAAAATTCAATTCATTAAAATGACAAGAGATCCCACTCACAAAACAGTGTTACAGATTTAAGTCTAAAGCAGTAATCCTGAACTTTTGTGAGAGGCATCTTTGATGTTAATTATTATTGAGGGCCCATAGTGGTAGAAGGCAGCAGCAACACCGCCATCTAATGCCAAAATCAGACTGTGCCACTATAAAATCCCATTAATAATAAAATACATCAAGAAGAATCTTACAGAAGCCTTCTTTCTTTAGAAATGAGTCAAAGGAATTATCCACCATCTTTTTTGTAACATATCACTGTCAGGAAGATATTACCTTTCCATAATATATACCTTACTGAAATAATTTGCACAGACAAAATGTTACATCTAACAAAAATAAGGGCGTAAAATTTGATACAGAGCATTCTTTTAGATAAACAGCTAACTTTTTAAATAAATATATTGTTCAGAGAGAATTTTAGAAGCATTCCAAAAAAGAACTGGCCATTTGCATGCACAGATATAACAACAGAAACTTCTTAAACTAAACATCCTCCGAATTTTATGTTGTTACCAGCAGATTAGAGACAACAAAGAAAAAGCTTACATGGATAGAAGTTAAAAAAAGTTTTATATTAAATGTATTTGAAATTATTCTTTTTAAACATGGTGTGAAATGGTTAAAGCCCCTATGTCTCTGTAATGAGATTAATCAGCCCCCTGAATTACAAGATTGTTAGAAAGGTTCTAAGAAACACCCTTACTAAAACATGGAGCTACCTTTTGGCATTGATAAAGAAAATTTAATTTGCCTACATGTGTCTGTAAATCAAAATAGGCTCTTCTTTCTTCCATTCGCTCTCGGTTTAAATTGCTGTTGAATTCTGCAGCTTTCTTGGCAGCTTTTTTAATATATTCTGGAACTTTACTGGCTTCTACTTTCTGTGTGTTCTGCTGCTGCATTTGCTGAAACAAAAACAACTTCATTAGCTTACACACATTTCACTACCAGTTTGTGAACGCTTTTTTATATATTCCATGTTACAGATCTGGTTCACTTCACATATGCTATTTACTCACAGAGTACTCTTTATAATGATCTGTTATTCGCTGACGTTCTTTCTCTTGCAGTATAACAGAATACTCAGCATGTTTGGCAGGGTATTCTTTAATCATAAGATCAATTACTTCATCACTACGCAAAGCTGTTAGACCTAAAATAGATAAAAGCGATAATGATGCTATCTGGCAAAACTAACTGTGGGTTATTTATATCTCACAATCATCAACTGAAGTTTTTGAGAAGCTAAAGACAATAAACTACTGTGCACAATGCCTCACACTCTATCACATAGGAGTGAACTTACGACATTTAGCTTTCAAGGCTGATTAAGGCTTTGCTTCTCCCCAAGGAGGAAAGATTCTTCTCTTGCTTACATCTACAGAACCCAAACCCCTAAGAGGCAGAATCTTTTCTGAAAGCAGGACCTGGTGACATTTGTTTCAGTTTCTTGTAGTGGTGAATGGTTAGTTTCACTGCCTCTCACTATTTAATTATGAGGTCAGGTTCTCTATACAAATCAAAAAAGAACCACTGTGAGGTCAATTCAGAGCAGCAAACTCAACGCAGATGCCTGACTCCTGATTAAACTATTTCAAGTTCAGAAGTCAGAATGTGTCATTTTGCAGCTATCAGGTCACTCAGAACCCCTCTTCAAAAGCTTCCAATACAACTAATCTCCATTGACAACAGGATAGAATGTGGCATATATTATCACAGGGACAGTTGACGCAGCACATGCCTCTACTGTATACCTGAGATAGAATACATCATTTTGCTTCTACTGGTACAAATTAGATATTGTTATATCCTGCATATTAAAGTAAAACTTTCAAGAGAGGTCTCTTGAAACTTCAGAGAGATGTTTCAAGAGAGAAACAAAAGCAGTGTACCAAGGACTGTTAATTAATAAAATGGTGTAACATCTGCACAGATCCATGGGTACACTGGGGAAAAAAAAAACAAACTGACAGGCATCCTTTAATTTTTAACACACTCCAAGTCACACATATTAGCAGAGAAAGAACAAATACTTGAAGTTCCTTCAATATAAAATGCATTCATGACACTGTTCTATTGCATATACACTTAAGTGGCTTAATATTCACCCTTCTGACACCTAAGACATAAGCTCAACTCTATAAAATACACTAATGTTTGCTGAGTTGCTACTAATTCAGCTGAACAAGATAGACTTTTTAGTTTAAAAAATCATGCTGTTCTTTTTCTGTTAAGGAGAAAAAGGGTTATAAAAGCTAATTTACAACATAGGTTTTATTAAGAAATTGGAACAGAACCAAAATTTGTTTTTAACAATCAATATTGAGCATTGATAGCCTTTGGCCGATTTACACAAACTAAAAATAAAATACAAACTGGTTTTCATGTCAGAATTTACATTTTCATTTGTGAGTCATTCACTTCTCTACCAAAATGAGTCACATTTTCAGTGTGTCATTTTTTTATATCATAACAAGGAATTTTTTTCCTCTTACCTAACGTGCACTGAGTCTCTGTGATAACATTTAGTTCTCTGAGGTAGAGTTTCTCCTTGTGAGACAAATCTCGTCGTTCTAAATCTTCAGAGAAAACAAAAGAAAAAAACAGCAACAGAAGTGTATAAAATTACTCAAAATCCCCCATAAACAACGTTAAAGTATTTGAGAATTTTACTTCCAGGCAACAAGTCTGCACTATACAGGAAATGGAATACAAAGATAAAGCCAGCTTTACAGTAAGAAATCACCAACAAAATACTTCAGAATTAAGCTGAGGTCAGTTTTCAAAAGCTACTTGCTGATCTAACACTCAACTCGTTCTTTTGTATAGATTTTTTAGTGGCAAGACTGAAAAGTCTTAAATTACTGTGAAAACAAACTATAGGATACATTTCCAAAATGCCAGTAACAAAACCAAAAAGTACAACATACAAAACTAATTTTGCTATGATCTTTTTTAATTAAATGGACCATTCTGCAGTCAAAAAGACGCAGAGATTACATTCAGAATGTAAGAAGACAGAGTTTTAGAAGAAAGACTTAAACAAATACCTGGATACTTTCTTTTAAAGGAAGTCACACCCAAATATTCACTAACTTGCTCCTGAAGCATATAGTACTCCCCTGTTTCATCTGGTGGCCACTTGTACTCTATCAGGTTTTCAGCAGGAAAATAGCTGTATCTGAGCATAAGAACAACACCAGGAGAAATCAAAGAATGCTGGGAGAAAAAGACCAATAGCTACTGGCATGACTCAATTCAGAAAGTTAAACAAAGAATATGAAAGAGTGGAGAAGAGCCAATGCTTCAGCATACTGAACGAAACAGTAAGACCAGCAATAAAAGTATTGGTTACTGGTATACCAAAGTACTGCTATTACCCAAGGTCCTGACTAGAAGTCTCACAGCTCCGAGAACTGTCCCCTGAGCCCATCCGCCGTCTTTTGGATGGCTGGCTGCCATCATTGGAATTTTCTTCAGTGTCATCCTGAAACAAAAATGAAAATAGATATTAATCAATTTCAAGTACTGAATGGGTAATTTAAAACATCGAAAACATTCTAAGACAGTATAAAGTTTAGATACACCTGAAGTACTCAGCTATTTAATAATAGTCTACACAAAACTGGCAGGACAGTTTACACAGGAAGCATAAGAACTGGCAAACAGTTTATGGAAAGATTGAGTAGCAAAAGCTTTTTGTTTACGGAGGGATTTAAAAAAAACCTAAAGCTACAGACTAGTAACATTATATGACTCCTACCTATATGGTATATTTGTTGCTTGCAAATATGCTATATTTGTTGCTTGTTAGCAACAAATCTCAAAGCATCTAGTGATTAAACTTACATGATTATAATGAGAAACAGAAGTAGTCAAGCAAGTTGCATATAGCGAGCAGCAGCAGATCCAAGAATAAAACTAACTCAAATAAAACAAACTAAGGACTAAAAGAAACTATGGACTAGTATAGAAGTATTATTAATACAATAAATATCAGTTCAAAAAATGATAAAGTACAGACAATGTTCAAAATTCTCATACTGATTCTTACTGAATTAAAGTATTAATACACATTATGCTTTTCTGAAGTATTTGGAGCAGGTGGAGAACAACTGAAGAGAAACTGGAGCCAGTCACCATGCAAGGAAAAAGCACCCATGACTTTTTAACTGTGCTTACTGTGTCGTTTTACATTATTAATAGAAACGCAACCCTATAAACTCAATTTCTGATCTTAAATCTATCACCATTACAGTTGTATTGGAAATGAATTGAATAGCTTATGCTGAAGTAATCTTTGCAATGAAATATAAAGAATTAGAAAACCGTAGATTGTATGTAATTTATCAATGCTATTTTGCTAACTTGCAGATTTTAATCATGAAACACTTTGTGTAGTGGAAGAACTACTGCAAGTGTCTAACTTTGTGCTAAGAACAATGTTACCATTTTGGATGGCTGCTTTAACAGCTTTCAAGCAAAGCAGGTAATTGTTGATATATATACATACATATATAAATATATATGTTTTTTGTAAGTTAGTGTCATCCCTGAGCTGATTTGAATTAGGCGGTCAGCTTCTGCTGGGCACAGAAAAATCATGTAGCTTTCATATGGTCCCATTACAAAGACATTTGGGTATGAGTAGTTTGACCTAGATCTCAGATTTCCATTTGGATTATAAGTGAGGGAAAAGAAATTGTTTCTCAAACAAGAAATTGTTATTTTTTTCAGGTATGCTGACTGTGCGATTCTCTTACTTCCTCAGTCAGAAGTGGGACTTTGATTGCTCTTCGCTACAACTAATGAATGCCCACAGCTCATTCCTTCCTCCCACACAGCACTCCAGAGTTTAGAACTGCTGGACTAAAACATAACTATTAAAGTCACTCCTATAGCAAAGCCGACAAGAAACTTCAAAACATCCCTCAGTAAGGGCCTCGCACAAGTTTCTCCTTTCTGCTTCAGAGTCTTCCCTTTCCGAACGCCCTGTTTACACGACACGAGCACCCACAACGCAGCAGGGACGACTGCCTCTGCTTCCTCCTCTGCTTTCGGTTTCACTCCCAGACGGACACAAAACACGCAGAGAAATGAGGCAGGCCGGTGCAAAGGACTCGGCAAACAAACGAGAACGCTCGCAGCGCACTCTAAAGCGCGGTACAGCTCAGCCACGGACTGCATCGACGATTTAAAGAAAAAAAAAAAAAGGGACAGTTCAATAGAAAGGAGCAGCCAAAAGAGGCCTTCCCCGCCTCGCAGAAGCACGCCCAGCACACCCGCACAGTTCCCCGTTGGTTGGCTCTTTAAAGTTACAGAGCGAAGTCTCCGTACGCCAATCAGCTTCGAGAGCTCCGCCACGACGCTTTATTTTGTAACTGGCAACCGGAACTACCCAAACCTCCTCCAAAGTGCCCACCGAGCCGTGGCCGCGCGGCCGCTCGCAGCCGGACCCAAACTTCGCGGGGCGCGGCGCTCCGGCGCGGGCGGCACTTATACGAGCGACGGCGACCGCACGGGCGCTCAGCCCCGACCCCGCGCTACAACTTCGCCGCGACCGCGGCAGGACGCCGCGCCACCCCCGAACCCGGCGCACGCCCCGCGGCGAGGAGAGCCCGGGCTCAGCGCGTCGCCCCGCGGGGGCCGGCCGAGGCCTCCCGTCGCCGGGCCCCCGAGCGCCGCGGCCGCCGTCGCGCTCACCTTCAGGGATTGGTTGCCGGGCGTGGCGGGGTCGCTGTCGCAGAGGCGCGGGGACAGGACGGCCGCCATCAGCGCCGCGGGGGCCGCCGCCGGCTGGGCGAGGAGAAGCGCCGCCGCCGCGCGCCCCGGCCTCGCGCCGCGCCCGGCTCCGCCCCCCCTCCCCCTGCGGGGGGTGGCAACGGCCCCTACCGGCCAGCCCGGGCACGAGCGCGGCGCCTCGCG